ACTCTGCTGCTCACATACTGACCCCGACCAAATTCCATACCCACATCTCACCAGTTCTGGCCAGGCTCCACTGGCTCCCCATCACTGAAAGGATCGACTTCAAGATCCTCACACTCGTGTTCCTACTTGTCCCTCGCACCCTCCACCCCATCATTGGAGGTCAGGCTTCGAACCACTATGCCTCGAAACTGTGGAACACTTTCCCTCAATCCCTCCGCATTGCCCCCTCTTTCCCCTTTTTCAAGTCCCGCCTGAAAACCTTTTGCTCCGCCACTCTGAAAGCACTTTGAGACCCTACCCTGCATGGAGGGCGCTATATAAGTGCAAGGTGTTGTTGTGATTTTACAATCATGAAAGCATAAATAAATTAAAATAGCATATTGCAAGTACTAGAAGATTGGCTTGTTTTCTACCACTTGTATTGTTTATTTGTTTTGTTATTTACAAAACTTAGATTCAATACAACCTGTGGTTTGTTTGAGCAGAGCATGACTGGAGTGTGTGCAAGAATGGTTATCATATGGTTAACTTTTAATGGTTAGCTTGTTGATCTATTCACATGGACAGTCAATCCCACCGTCTGAGGGTAAGTTCTTTCCATCTGCCTCATAAATCGATTATGTCATGCATGAACTGTAAATTCATGCTCACTTGAAGCAGCTGCTCTTAAATTCCTAGGCCATACTATGTAGTCATTTACGAAATCTTCAACAGTCATTGAAACAATCAAATGGTATTAAATTGACACCAACTACTGTAGATTCTACCAAATCCAGCTGGTAAGAAAACTATGCAATATAATAAGATTTTTTTTTGGTCAGCCAGGTGTCTGACACATGTGGAAACCCATCACCAGGCTTAAGAGTATCCCAGCTAAACTGAGAACTCCATGCATCCCTCCTACACATGAAAATTCCAAAGATAGATTGTTGGAGTGGAATACGCACTCTCTCCCTGGAGGGACACATCCTTCTTATCTAATTAGGGAAAGTATTTGGCGCAGGTTGGCAAGAGCCAAGACTGGAAGTGTGTGTTAGGGTACTGCTGTAGCTAACCAGCCAAGACACGCATCGGATTTCAATTATCCGGATTATTTAGTTTTTGCCCTCGGCACAATGTTTGTGCCAAAGATTTCCCCTCTCCAATGCTGCAAGATCAGTGAGATCAAGCTCCTGATTAACTCATTTGGTATCCTGTGAAGCAGCATCCAAATGTTGCATCCAGATGGCGAATGGTCTCTGTCTATGCTGTAATATTCTATATCCAAAAATCCAAAAAGGCACTGATTTGTTTTCAAAGCTGAAGTTGGATCATCTATTGTGCAGCAGTGGGGGAGGTATTTCTATCCATAGCAGTCTTCAGAACTGCTTCAAATAAGCAGCATTTCATAATTGGAAAATGTGAAAAGTATTGCTAAAATGCACTATTGGTATACAGTACATTTTGAGTTGAAGAGTTGGTGTACATGTTTTCAAATGAATACACAATTTAAAAACTTCTTGTTATATTGTTAAGAAATAATCCTCTTCCCTTCCACCCAGCAATATGGAGTGATGTAGAGCAGCAAGTTTGATACATACTACCAGATAAAATCCATTAAAAAACTTTAGTGCATGCAAAGAACACAGAATTCAAGGTGTTATAATTTAAGTTATTAAAGCGAAGTTATGTATTAGCTTGGTTCAGTTGATAGCACTCTTCCCTCAAAAAGTTGTGTGTTCAAAGCTTTCATCAGTTGTTTGAGATTACAATCTAGACTGATACTCTAGTCAAGGCCTGGGGTAGCATTGTATTGTCAGAGGTGAGATATTACACCAAGAACCTGTTTACCTGTTTGATTTGATATTAAGAGATGCAATGACATTGTTTGAAAAGAAAGAGCTTTTCTCTCAGTGTTCTGGCCATCACACCTTTATATAAATTAGTCAATCATTTCATGGTTATTTGTGTGAACTGATTTGAGAAAATGTTATCCAGCTGTGAAATAAACCTCTTTTATTAATCTATTAATCTATTTATTAATTTATTAAACCTCTTTTATTAGGGTATTAATCAGGAAATTAGAGGAGCATATAGCAAAGGTAATTCAGTAATAGTGGGTGATTTCAATCTTCACATAGATTGGCCAAACCAACTCGGCAAAAGTAGGGTAGAGGAGGAGTTTATAGAGTGTATGAGAGGTAGCTTTCTGGAGCAATATGCTGAGGAACCAACTAGGGAACAGGCCATACCAGAACTTCTTTTGTGTAACGAAACAGGGCTAGTCGGTAATATAGATATTAGAGCTCCTCTAGGGCAGAGTGATCATAACATGATAGAATTTAGTATTAAGTTACAGAGCAATGTAGTCAAATCTGAAGCAAGGGTCTTAAATTTAAATAAAGCTAACTTTGCAGGTATGAGGGAGGAATTAGCTAAAATCGACTGGGGATTAGATTAATGGATATGACAATAGACCAACAGTGGCAAACGTTTAAAGATGTAGTGCAAAATTCTCAGCGGTCACATATTCCCTTGAGGAATAAAAGTACGACAGGGAAAGCAGTTCATCCGTGGCTAACGAGAGCAGTTAGAGAAAGTATAAAACTAAAAGAAAAGGCCTATAAAACTGCCAAAAAGAGTAGCAAACCTGAGGACTGGGAGTGTTTTAGGGACCAACAAAGGAAAACCAAAAAGCTCATTAAGAGTGAGAAAATGGATTATGAGGGCAAGCTGGCTAGGAACATTAAGACAGATTGTAAAAGTTTTTATAAATACATTAAGAGGAATAGGCTAGCAAAAGTAAATGTGGGTCCATTACAGGCAGAGACAGGAGGAATTATAATGGGGGATAAGGATATGGCAGAGTCCTTAAATAAATACTTTGCTTCTGTCTTCACGTTAGAAGACACAAGAAGTTTACCAGAAATAGAGATGAACCAAGGGGCTAATGATAGGGAGCAACTTAGGGAAATTTACATTAGCAAAGAATTGGTGCTAGGGAAATTGTTGGCATTAAAAAGTGACAAGTCCCCTGGACCTGATGGTTTGCATCCTAGGGTTTTAAAAGAGGTAGCTCATGAGATAGTGGAGGCCTTGTGTCTGATCTTCCAAAATTCTTTGGATTCTGGAACAGTTCCCATTGATTGGAAGATCGCAAACGTCACACCACTATTTAAGAAGGGTGGGAGAGAAAAGATGGGGAACTATAGACCAGTTAGTCTGACATCGGTGGTAGGGAAAATTCTGGAATCTTTAATTAAGGATGTCGTAATGGGATACTTAGAGGATCACAATATGATTAGACAGAGTCAACATGGCTTTACAAAAGGGAAGTCATGCTTAACAAATCTTTTAGATTTTTTTGAGGACATATCAAGTAGATTATATAGGGGGGAATCAGTGGATGTAGTGCATTTAGATTTCCAAAAGGCATTCAATAAGGTGCCGCATAAAAGGTTGATCCACAAGATTAGGGCCTATGGAATTAAGGGGAATATATTAGCACGGATTGAAGAATGGCTAACGGGAAGAAAACAAAGAGTAGGGATAACCGGGTCCTTCTCAGATTGGCGGGATGTGACCAGTGGAGTGCCACAAGGATCAGTGCTTGGGCCTCAACTATTTACAATCTACATCAACTATCTAGATGAGGACATCTTAATGTATCCAAATTCACGGATGACTAGGAAGGAGGGTAAACCGAGGATGACATTAAAAAATGCAACGAGATATAGATAGGCAGGTGATTGGGCAAATAGGTGGCAGATGAAGTATAACGTAGGGAAGTGTGAGGTCGTCCACCTTGGTGGCAAAAACAGTAGAGCAGCTTATTTTTTAGAAGGGGAGAAACTAGATAGTATTAGCGTTTAGAGGGACTTGAGTGTCCTTGTACACTGGTCACAAAAAGTTAGTTTGCAGGTGCAGCAAGCAATTAGGAAGGCTAACGGTATGTTGGCATTTGTTACAAAAGGGTTAGAATATAAGAGTAGGGAAATCTTGCTGCAACTGTATAGGGCCCTGGTGAGACCGCATCCAGAGTATTGTGTGCAATTTTGGTCTCCTTATTTAAGAAAGGATGTACTCGCCTTGGAGGGGGTACAACGTAGATTCACTTGGTTGGTACCAGGGATGAGGGGGATGAGTTATGAGGATATGAGCAATTTAGGCCTATATTCTCTAGAATATAGAATGAGAGGTGATCTTATAGAAACGTATAAGATTATTAAGAGGCATGACGGAATAGACAGTGGGAGACTTTTTCCCCTGGTTGGAGAAACTATAACCAGGGGTCAGTCTTAAAATTAGGGGTAAGCCCTTTCGCACTGAGTTGAGGAAAAACTTCTTCACTCAGAAGGTAGTGAATTTATGGAATTCTCTACCTCAAAGGGCTGTAGATGCTCAGTCCTTGAACATATTCAAGACTTGGATTGATAGATTTTTTGTGGATAAAGGGATTAAGGGATTATGGGGATAAGGTGGGTAGATGGAGTTAGAATAGATCAGCCATGATCTTATTGAATGGCGGGGCAGGCTTGAGGGGCCGAATGGCCTACTCCTGCTCCTATTTCTTATGTTCTTATGTTCCATCCAGCAGTATAATGGTGTGGAACAGGAAGCCTGATTTATACCGAATTTAAGCTAAATGCTACAATATATGCCTACAAAATATACAGTCACTACATTTCTTACCAATTACCTGTGAAGTGCTTTGAGATATTTTGATGTTACAGACACCATATCAAATGGAAGAATTGCAATTGATAGATGATATCTCTGTTATCATTGAAGATTCATGTAATTTTCAATGATCAATGGGGGAACAAGCTTAGTGTAATTCATGAATCACACGCCTAAAACCTCTTTCTCCAGGAGCTTATCTACAATGCTATTTGTGTTGTCTTAAACACAAATTTATACTGCACATTTGCTGTCAAATCATTATTAAAATCATGATAATATGCAGAATAAAAAGCATTAAGTACTTTTATTTTTTTAAAAAGAAATCTGAAAAGCTTCACTTAATTAATGTCTTTATTCAAAGAAAATGCAAGTGATGAATTTAGAATGGTTACACTGAAAACATTTATTGACAAAATACATTGGATTATGTATAGTAATCTTCAGCTCCAATCTGGAGATAGAACAAACAAATAGTTCAAAATTGTGAGTGAAATTGTCAATGTTGTCATTTAAATTGGCTACAATTACAAAACTTGCACTTGTTTCTACATACAACACAGTCTCTATGAATTTGAACTAATAACTGTGAAGTTTAATTACTGTGTTCTCGCAATTGGATGAGAATTTGATTGGAGACAAAACTGCAGTTGTAGGTACCTTGAGGTTTTCACGGATGAAGTTGCGTTGTCGCACAGCAACAGGGGGCTTCAAGGCTGAAATGGTGGTTTTGCTCGATTGAACAGTAGGAGGAGTATACTGAGGATCCAAACCGTTGATCTCATATGTCCATTGCATATCCATCGTCTGTGAACACAAGCAAAGTATTGGATAAGTGTCTGCAATGCTATAAATGTGTGTTAATTTCTTTGTGATAAATTGTGTAAAAGTATGATTGCTGTGATCAGAATAAAATCTCATGCTTGTAGCATGAAGAGATTGCAATGGGTTTTAATTAGTACAAAACATGGCTTGTTTGTTACTGCTACTGAAACTCGTTCCAGGCCTCTGGAAGCAAGAAGTGAGATAGAGAAAGTAAACCCAGAACAATACCTACAGATGTCCCAGAAGGAAACAAATTTAGTGTTGTAAAGGGCAATTTCAGGGCAGACGCCTGGAAATATTTTTTTACTCAGAGGGTAATCAACGACATGTTACCAGGAAGGGTGGTTCAGACGCGAACTCAGGACCTATTTAAAAACAGCTTGCTGATGTGATGGGAAAATGGTAAGGTTGATATTCTGGAAGGGTAACATCGAATTGGCTGAAAGACCTTCTACATCCAAACCAATCTAGTGACTATCGCATATTCCTACAAAAACATTGATCTTCTTCAGCAGAAAATTACTGTTCCCTCATTTTCTGCCATTTCTAGAGAATTCCCTATTTTATGGAGATTGGCTTGATGCCCAGATTGTTCTGATTTAGATTGGTTCAATTTGTGAATACCTCTACTGTTGATAGATATATTACTTTAATTGAGGGTTTAATCTGTTGAAGCCTATTGAGAACAAGCTACGCCCATTAATGAGGTTAATTAGTGGTTAATTATCTGTTAATATATTCATAGAAAGAATCAATAATCTTGAAGTCCAAAGCTTTAGTTTTTATAAGTTTTGATGAGTTATTCTATACTGTGGTCCATTTATACTGTAAATTTAACATGGAATCAATACAAAAAGTAAATATAAATCCAGTTTTTAAGGCACTAATTTAATTCTGCATCCTGTTGCAGAAACCACTTTCCGGAGGTGGTTGTGGACTGCAATCAACGCCATGACTGCAGTATAAATCTGCATGTACCCCTGGTTCTTCAATAGTATTATCNAAAAAAACACATTCATGCATAGTCAGTTAAACTTCTACAGTCCCAAAGATAACAAATGAGTGCAGGTAAGCCTAATCAAATTTACATTCCTAACCTTACCACTGTTAATGTCAAACTGCTCTAACTGTATAAAAGAGTACAACAGCATAATGTAGTACTGTAAATAACATTTGTCAAATGGTTGGATGAACCGTATAATTACACGCTAACTATATGTACTCAAGGTGTAGATACAAAGGTTTGCTGCATAAACAAATCTTCTAACTTTATGATGTGAAGCAACGCAATTCATCTCTTCTGAAGATCTAACGTGCCCTGTTTCTTAACAGGATTCCTTAATAAAGAATCCAAATACAACAAATAACACAAACAGCAACTGGAAGTGCGTCTTGCCAGCTCGTGGTAACTCTGCTGAGACACATTTGAATTCTGGAGAAGAGTTGCCACAGATTGGTGGCAATTGTGATTCCTAATGAAGCTCTGCACTGCTCAAAGAATTAACCTTCTCAGTAATACATCATGCTTTGTGCCTTTAAATTAGCACGAATTGTATTGTTTCACTTAATGGACTTTATCTTGCATGGTGGACTCAGCATTAAATCTTCCTATTTGTGCTGGAGCATGAATCTTTTAAATTGTTTTCAGCATTGTCAAAAACTACTCATTGAATATCAAATGATTATTTTGGTTCAGATGTTATTTATTCTGCTTTTTAATTAGTTTACATATATGGTTACATGAGGCAATTCAATAGACTATTGGCTCCTATATTTTGCCCACAGAATATACAGTCAATTCTCTTCGCAGTATATTCTGTGAAGCGCTTTGAGATGTCTCAAAGATGTGATAAAGTGCTATACCAAATGCAAGGATTTTTATTATTATTATTATATAGTTTCAAGAATTTTTATTTCAGTATCTTTTCAAGTTCATGGGACTGAAGGTTCGATACTGACAAATAATTCTGCCTGTGAGTACTAAAAAAAAGCCAAAATGTCAACATTTTAATTTAATTATAGCTGGGGGGAAGTTCAGAGGAATCTACACCTTTGTATCTTCCTTTTTAAAAAAAATAAAGATGGAAAAAATAACTAATTTTCCAGCCCATGTTTCTTCCCTTAACAAGGCTCCCAGAGACTTGCCTCCTCTACAGTCCATTAAATTGCCTCTTGTGCCCATTCACACTCCCATTGTATTCAGACATTACCAATGAAACTTGCAGGTTACACAATAACAACAAAGTTACATTTGTAAAGCGCCTTTCACGTTAGGAGGACGTCCCAAGACACTGGACAGCCAGAGTTTTGGACCTGAGCTGGGGATCGGGGAGGGTGGAGGGCAGGGGGGGAAAGCAGGGTGACCGAAAGCACGGTCGAAGAGGAGGGTCTTGAGATGAGTCTTGAAAGAGGCAGAGGAACTGCGGGATGGAGTTCCAGAGGGTGGGGGCAGAGTGGCAGAAGGCGAATGATGAGACACAGATGAAGATCACACAGTAGAAGACTGTTCTTCATCTTGTTATAAAATGTCTTAGCAACTTCAGAAACAAAAAAACGTTCTCTTTATTCCATTGAAAAACAGCCTTGGATCAGCACCCCGTTGCTACAAAGTCTAATTGCTTTTCGAACACTACCAGCATGTTGACATTTACTTGCCCTGCAGAACCAATTAGAATTCAGATGAAACTGCACAAGTAGGCACTTGCAACCCGCACCACTGAGCTCAGTGTAACTGGTTGATACTTTAAAGGCCATATGCAGTTACATGTAATATCTCCTCAGTTAACTCTTTCCTTCTCTTGTTTCATTCTGCCATTTTAACCTAAGCAATACTGCTAATGTAGCCCGCAAGTAGAATTGTGATTTATTTATACTGCCTCCTACTTGACTTAGAATAATGAAATATGCTTAATTTATACAGTGGGGTAGCTCACTGGGCCATACCATTATTCAGATGGTGGCTTAACATTCCATGGATTCAGTCCTCAAACCAGAGTGATAGGAACAATTATGTACTCAGTACATTATATGCCATACATGTGCTAGATGTGCAAAAATATGAATATTGGGTATCTTTGGCACAATAGGAAGATATTTGTGCTGTAGCTTAGTGATTAGATCACTCGCCTTGCAAGCAAGAGGAGCTTGGTTCGATTCCCAAGCAGGGCAAAACATTGGGAAAGCTTTCTGTTCACTTAAGTAGGAACCCAGGTGTTATTCGATTGGCAGATCTTTTTTCTGGGGGTAAAATCCTTTCAATTTTTTTAAAAAAATAATAATTTGGTCACTCAATTGGCAACTGTTTGTGGGACACTGCTGTGCGCAATTGGTGGCCGCATTTCGCCCACAAAATGTACAGTCAATTCATTTTCCAGTATATTCTGTGAAGTGCTTTGAGACCTCTCAAGATGTGATATGGTGCTACATCAAATGCAAGGATATTATTATTATTATTATTATATGTGTCAGCCTGGTTGCAGTGTTAGAACTTGTAGGATATCCATTTAAGAAGTAAAAGTCAATTAAAATAGAGCAAATGAGATAAAGACAGGAAGTACAAAAGGATACTGGGAGTGGAACAAATTGGTGTGGTTCTCGTTAGTGGATTGGAGTGCTCTAAATTGAGAATAAAGTAACTTACTTTACACCTGGGCTTTGGATTGATAATTATAGCAGCACTCTTGCCCGTGAGCCAGACGGTTATAAGTTCAAGCCCCACCTTGGGACTTGGAATCGCATAATCTAAATTGACTCCTGAATACAAAGCTCGGTTGTAATGCATCGTCAAAGATGCTGTCCTTCAGATGGGATGTTAAACTGAAGTCCCAACTGCCTGTTCAAAGGGACTTTAAAGATTGCATGGCACTATTCAAAAAGAAAAGGGAGTTTCTGCTGGTGCCAACAAATCTCCCAAATAAAATTGGTCATTCACGCCGTGGCTGTTTGGGGACATTCCTGTGTACAAGCCGGCTGCCGTGTTTTACCCACAGAATGCACTTTATATTATATTATGTGAAGCTCTTTGAGACATCTCAGCAACATGATAAGATGCTAAATCAAATGCAAGGATTGTTATAATTATTATGTGATATTTATGACTTCAGATGGACCACAGGTGCTTCCACCACCCACCCCCCATTCTCAGTAGTGATACTGGGAGAAGCCAAGTCTGTTAATAGATACCAAATGTGGCTTCAATTATTGACTTTTTAGTAAAAACCTTAATAAACCAGTATCCTGCAAACGAGCAGATGAAGGTGGCATCACCACCACTCCTGCCCTACATCATATGATTGGAGACAGAGGATGAATACTAATAGCCAGCAGCTTCCTGTCCTCATTGATTTTACATGCTGGAGGGATGGCTGCTGCTGGTTATATGGTTTGGTAAAATAAATATTCCTCGCATTTGCCATAGCGTTTTTGATTTTGGGAGAAATCTCAAAGTGTGTCATAGTATTTACTGTAAGGTGTAGTGCCTGTGTATTTTGTAGATGAATGGAGTAGCCAATTTGCATTTAGCAATATCCCACAGACAGCCTTAAGTGGATGTCCAATTTTATCTAGGAGATTGTTGGCCAGCACATCAGAGAAACTCTCATCTCTCTTCGAATAGTGCCATGGGATCTTTAACATTCACCTGAACAAGCAGATGGGACCTCAATTTCATGTCTCATCTGAAGTACAGCATCTTCAATGAACTAAAATACCCCCAGCACTGTATTAGAACATCAGCTTAGAGTATGTGTGTTCAAAGATCTGATATGGTAGCTTGATTTGATTGTGTAAACATTATGCAAGAGAGGGATAAAGAAAATTATCTTCTCTTTTTGTCTGCTGTTGTTCTGTGAATATTATGCAGTTTCCAACATATGCTGGCTCTGTGCAGTTAGTGATGCTTGAGCAAAGATCTGAAACATGACTTTTTAAAGACATCTTTGGCCCCACCATAAATCCAGAAAATATATGGGCCAATCTTGTAGTAGGAATACTACCCTAAAGCCTGATTGTCATATCTTTAGTTCCTAAGAGTAGAAACATAGGCAAGCAGTCACAAAAAACACATCTCCATGGAGGCCCTGGAGGCATTTGTACAGTTCATTATTAAGTGTGTAAGAAGAATCTTTTCATTGGGGGCATTGAAGCTCACCAGTCTGCTGATGAAGCAAATCTGGCAGGAGTTAATTAACCGAGTAAATGCTATTTGAAATGTGCAAAATTTGAAGTGCATCGCTAAGGTAAGTCATCAGGGACTCAAATTCATCCTGGTCTTTGTCTTAAACTCAATGCCATAAAAATAAGATAAGGCCAAATACTGGAAGTTTTAAAATCAGTCCCAATTTGTAAAAGAACTATAAGAAGTGGGTTTTCAAATTAATAATAATAATCCTTGCATTTGATATACGCTTTTCACGTCTTCTAGATGTCTCAAAGCGTTTCACAGAATATACTGTAAAGTGAATTGACTGTATACTTGTGGGCGAAATGCGGCAGCCAATTGCGCACAGCAATGTCCCACAAACAGTCGTGGATTGAGTGACCAAATTATTATTTTTTTTCTTGAGGGTTTATTATCATGCGTGTGGAGTAAGTAAACTTGCCCAAGGTTTCGCCCTGCTGGGAATCGAACCCAGTCTCTCGCTTGCGAGGCAAGTGCTCTGATCATTGAGCTGCTGGACTCCAAGGTACAAGGTCTTTTCTAAAATCCGCATCGTTTCAAATTTTAAGACAATGGTGTAAGGACGAGACCATATGAAATTTCGGCCTCATTATACCTGCAGTCTTCCAAAGTGCTGGGAAAAAAAGCTGAATGTGCATGTTTATTACCCTCCTTGTCAAGTCATCTTCTGTCAAATGAAAATGTCATACAGTATTTCAAACAAGTATACCATCTCTATTTATGATTCAAAATACTTGTAACACTTGTAATACACTGTAAGCTGTAATGAAGGTTTTATATAGGTCTTTCTCTACAGTTTAACTGCAAAGCACAATGTGAAATGTCGTATCCCCTCAATTGAAAACCATTGTCTGGTTTATCGTTGTGCAAGGATGGAAAAAATAGAGGTTTTTGAAAAGGGACCAGAGTGGAGGCTTGAAGTTGTGTACCACAATTTTAAAATTCTATTAACCAGTGATTGTGCCAGAGTATGCACATTGACTGATTTATATCAGGGTTTTTGTATATCAGGCTATTTTTCAAATCAGATTTTGCAAGACATTATGACAACCTGTTGCTCATTTATGCTGCATCATTGTGTTTCTCCACAAATCATGGGAATCCATTGCAACTGCAGAAAAGAAAAGTGGCCAGATAGTTGTTGCATATTGCTTTACAGCTAAATTGGCAATTGGACATTGACAATGAGAAGCAAGCAGGAAGCATAAAAGGTTTCTGGGAACGTGATTGGGCATAGTATTGAAGAGAGTGGAAGTGTAAGGTTGAAATAAAGGAACTATTGAATCTAAACTGTTGTGGATTGACAAAGAATACAGTAGTAATAGCCTTGCAACATCACGCAACTTAGACATTGCAGGCAATAAGTCAGATCCTGCCAAAGAACAAATAAATAGTATGCAGAGAGGAGGGGGTAAGGTCAATGGAGGTGGTCACAGCTGAAAAGGCTGAAGATGTTGAACCTAGCAACATTACAATTAAAAGGGTAATGCATCCACAGCATTGTGTATGGATCAATCGTTAATGTTTCTACCATTTGTACTCAAGTTAAGAGGGAGATAATAATAATAATCCTTGCATTTGATATAGCTATTTATCACATCCCGAGACGTCTCAAGGCACTTCACAGGATATATGCTAAGTGGAGTGACTGTGTATATTGTGGGCAAAACACGGCAGCCAATTGCGCACAGCAATGTCCTGCAAACAGTCATGGATTGAAGTGACCAAATTGTTATTATTATTATTTGGGGGGGGGGAATTATTATCCCACTATATTATAAGTCCAATGAGTGTGAATCACACTTGGTCCAACAGCAATTTTGGGGTGGCCCAGGAATGTTCAATAGACCAGGTGAATGTGTTTTAAAGTCATGACTGTGAAAACTGATAATAAAACTACAATAACATGGAAAAATCTATACTGATTTCAGAGTACCTTGGGGGAAAATGCCCAAATTCAGTTTTTTTTAAATTCAATGTAGTGGAACAGGACATTTAAATCAAGCCAGTTCCTGGAAACTGGCTCTACCCAAACACCAAAGCAGAGTGAACCCAATATCACAGGAACCGGAACTTATCAAGTCTTCAAGACATCTCAAAGCGCTTCACAGAATATACTGTAAAGTGAATTGAGTGTATATTTTGTGGGCGAAACACGGCAGCCAATTGCACACAGCAGTGTCCCACAAACAGTCGTTGATTGAAGTGACCAATTTGTTTTGAAGGAATTATTACCCTGGAAAAGCGATCCGCCAGTCGACTAACAACCAGGTTCCTACTTACTGCTAGGTAAACTGAAGCGTGTGGAGTAAAGAAACCTGTCTAACATTTCTCGCTGCCGAAAATAAAACCCAGGTCCTCTCGCTTGCGAGGCGAGTGCTCTAACCACTGAGCTCCAACAGAGTGGTCATGGAATTCATACATAAGAAAGAGCATAAAGGCTAGTAGGAAAAACAGCAAACAGGTCATAAACAGTGTACACAATGCAATAATTAAAATGTATTAATTGAATCATTTAGACAGTTTGTTTTAAGAAATGCAAATAATTGAAAGAGTTTTACATAAAAGGAATTTACAGCACAGACCAAGGGGACTAAACAGATAGATCTTTCAGAGAATCTGTGCCAACTCTCTGAAAGTGCTATCTGTTTAGTCCACTTCTGCTGCTTTTCCTCATACCACAAGATTTTTTATAGTAGGCCTAGCATGGCTGAGTGCTACTTATTGAATTGTGGGTTTGAATTTCACTGTAACATAAATATCTTTCAGAAAACAGAAAAGATATACAATATGAAGCAGGGAATGATGAATACAAATCAACTGGAATTTATTGAATTGGCAAGAAAAGGTTGTTCTGAATCTAAATTTTAAAACAGTATTATCAGTTGAGGTTTTGAGAATATGTGCACTTTAAACCAACAGAATTCAAGGTTTCTTTTAATTGATCAGAACTCACCCTTATGAGCAGTATTGCTTTATACTTTTTGCTGTACATGCGCGGTGTGAATCCAACAGTGATTAGGGTTCCAGCAGAGCCAAAAGGAAGCAATTCTCCAGCTTGGGGTGACACAGTAAATTCCTGACTGCTGCCAGGTAGGAAGTATGCAGAAAATGCCACTGGACAGCTGAAGGTTGAAGGAAATATGTCAGAAAAATAACACTTCACACTTAGAATACGGAGTTGGGTTTATATAATAATTAAAATAATTCTTGCATTTGATATAGAGCCTTATCACGTCATTGAGATGTCTCAAAGCGCTTCACAGAATATACTGTAAAGTGAATTTAGTGTATATTTTGTGGGCGAAACATGGCAGCCAATTGTGCACAGCCGTGTCCAACAAACAGTTGTGGATTGAGAGACCAAATTATTATTATTTATTTATATTTTGAAGGGATTATTACCCCCAGAAAGTAATTTGCCAATTGACTAACAACTGGATTTGTATTTATTGCTAGAAACAGAGGCGTGTAGAGTAAGCAAAGTTGCCTCATCAAACCTGGGTCCTCTCGCTTGCAGGACTCCAATTCGCTAAATTACACTCTTTTAAAAAATTCTCAACAGATAAATTAAAACAAGAATTTGCTCATGGTCATCAATTATAGTATTTGTTTTTAATCTGACCATGTTTTTAACTTCATTCCATAAAACTAAAAGAAGTACAACCAATATATATATATATACATACAAATATATTTTTAAAAATGCTGCATTCTTATTTCTGGCAGCTTTTTCAGACTGTAAACTTCATCCAGTTTCAAATTCCCAAAGTTACTTTATTCATTCTGTGTGTGTTGGTGTATCAACTCCTCATAAATGTAGAAGAAACCAGACCATTACATCCTGGTCCATAATAGACCACCAGTAATTAGTAATTCAAAAGTAACTCCAGTTTTATTGCTGGTGATGACATTCACTTACATTTATACAACAGCAACTTGCATTTATATTTATATTATAGTCTGTCAAAAAGACGTGATAAGGCGCTATATCAAATACAAGTAGTATTATTATATAGGGCCCTTATAAGTTGTATTATTCTTTTAATTTGATGTACTGTGCACTCAAAGAAATGTATTCTCTCCACCCACACACATTAAAATAGTTGTCCATTTTTAGCACAACCGCTCTCAGTTGCTTCCTTACATTTTAATTATATATTCCTCTTCATTGAGTGGTATTTTATAACAAAGCTGCAGCACTTTGAAAGGAATATTGAGCACATTATATTTAGAATGATCTTCTAAAATCTGTGAGAAGAATGAAAAGCAAGAATTCTTATCCTAGAAGAGTATATTTTTGCATAATGTGTTGATTTTGAGCCATGAAATATTAAATAGTAGACTAGAACATTGGTTCTCAATCTCAACTGTGCTATTGAGAGGAGATGGAGACAAAATACTTAATAATAATCATCCTTACATTTGGTATAGCGCCTTTCACATCCCAAAGAGCTTCACAGGATATACTGTAAAGTGTAGTCGTATGTTAATAGGCAATTGCTGCAGCCAATTTGCACACAGCAACATCCCACAAACAGCTATGAAGTGAATACCAAATTTTATTTGGGAGATTGTTGACCAGGATACTGAGAGAAACTCACTTCTCTTTTTTGAGTAATGCCACAAATAGAAGGAAAACATTGTAAGCAACCAATCCTGTTGCAGTTGAAAAGAGGCTTGGGAGTGATTACATGTCCTCCACTCAGGGTTTGGATGCAAGGCTTGGATAAGTTGCAAAAGAGGAAAAACACTGGGATTTTGGGGGGTTTATAAAAAGAAACACCTATTTCTAAACAGTGTTCTAAACAGACATCCCTGGTTTAAAAATTCAAGCTAGATTGTAAAAAAAATTTCCCTTAATTGCGAGGTACACAGCTGCTGTCATGTCCTACCCTGCTGGTAACACGATTCCAGTGATATTCTTTACTTTTAAGGACTTGGAATTGGGTTAAAATCTGTTTTGGTTTCAGTATAGCTCCAGGGCTTAATGTGGAAAATCCAAAGTACATGGTGATTGTAACATCCTACCCTCTGATTTAAAGAAATACTCACAGGATCATTAATACTATGGGTTCCAAAAAAGGTGGCTTTTTTGGATGAAAATGCTGTTAAGCAGATTGCATCAGAAAATCAACTTTTTGATATTTAATTTGTTTACATATTAAATTGAGGTGAAAATTGTGCTAGTTGGTGGGATACTGGTTTAACTTTGAATTTTATGTTTAGTAATGCTAACATCCAGCAAACCGACAGTAAATGCCACAATCCATGAACCAGATCTAAAGTGCAGGGCAATCATTTGTGAATGGCTTCAGGACAGAGTGTGTTATACTTTGTTATTTTCCAAATAATGAGAAAACACAGGAACAAAGTTCCTCCACAGTGCTCAGGCCTACATTTCCTGTTCATGATTTCTGTTGTAGATTTCTGATTTATAAGATGTCTGTAATAAAGCAACAACTGAAGATTTATCTCTAAGTAGAATCTTGATAGATTCAGATCTGGCAAACCTCCTGTTGCACATTACCAGTTGCTTCTAAAGACAAACTAGTAATGTAAAAACAGTAAAACACATCAAATTGTTTATTTTTTCAACAGTGTTTTGTAGCATCATCCGTGTTAAGTAACATATCACAAGATGCAATTTCATCCCAATGTCATAAGGAATCTCAAAGCAATTGAAATGATAACAATACCTTGTTTGGCTTGTAAGTCTAAATCCAACAACAGATTTGTTGTATAATCCTGTAGCTTCAATATTGATAACATCATCTATCTGTGGCTCAGTTGCAATAAGCAGCAATGGGAATTTCCAGACTCCACCAGTAGTAGAGTGCACGACTAATGTTGCCCGATGCCTGAATTCAAACAATCCAATGGAAAAATACATGACCATAATAGATTTAGTGGAATGCAATCACATTCTAAATAGTATGATGCCTGCATTGCAATCATTTTTTTTGGTCAGATAAATATATTTACTTACAAGTCAACAGAATATATTGTACTACAGCAAACATAATATTTCCCAGATGTAAAAGTAATTTGCATGGATCTGCTTGTTTCATCCAACACTGATGGTTTTAGACAAATGTGACAGCCATTTTGTGCACAGCAAAATCCACAAGTGGCATATTTTTTATAGTATATCTTGCCTGCATGGAAACCTGTCATTTTGTCTCTCTGCTTGTTTCCTGAAAGGCTTTGGTTACCCTTGTGTGTTCATGTGTTGTTTCATTCATTCAATAGGAACTAATACTTCAAACAGGCCTAAAATGCCTGAGTCAGAGTATTTCACCACTGACTGAGGGACAAGTACCTATTCAGCTTTCCCAATAAACTCAAATAAGAGAAAGAATCGTAACTCATTTTGGTTTTGGTTTTAAATTTTCAGAAATCTATACAATACTGTATACGCAATATTTTCTATTAAACTTGTATTACGGCATGATTACAATGAGGTGCACAGTACAGCATACACATACCTGACTGGTTTATATGGTGCAAAGACAAAGTTGAAGATTAATGTGACAATACCAGTTTGCAAGTCCCATTCCTTTTTCATAAAGGTCACTGCAACTGAAGACTCCATCTGATTTCTGGCATCCTCAGAGTCGTACATAACTTCATGCAGAAACTCTGCTGTTGTGATGTGCCCTATTAGAGGAAACATAAAATCCTATGTAACATTTCAAGAATAATAATTTGCCTGTTTCAAGACAGATTTTATGTAGACAGACACACACACAAACATACAAATGCTCTGATAACCATTTACTTGTTATGTGAATAATAAGATTAAACTTCATATCAAAATGCTTATACCTGAAGTTAATTAAGTCACTGAAGTATTTAGTTTTTAATACAGGACAACCCTGTTATTAAGAGTTTGAGTTTGCTGATAATGCAGGTCTCCTGTGGATCTGTGATTCACTTGCAGCATAAACCGGCTGGTTTCCTGTGCATTACAAACAGTGTACAGGAAGCCGAAGGCACTGTCATAAATATTTCTAACATTAGAACACTCACAAGAGTGATCCAAGACTTCCTACACTTTATGCACATGCACAACAAGCCAGGCAGTCCATGCTGGACATGCGTAACATCAACCAGCCTAACAACCGGGAAGCAGGACTGGCAGCTATTTTTTGCACAACTGTTATAACCCAGTGTCTTATTTTTTTCGGATGTGCAACCTCTGTTATAACAGGGGTTGCCTGTAGGTTTATAAATTGTATTGTTATTTTAAATAGTAGGGGTAGTGAAATAGACTTGGAGCTCTCATAGTTTTGTCACCTGACACGTTACGATTTCACAATCCTTCAAATAACCAATGTATATACAACACATAGTTGAACCTATTTATGTGTTAATTGCAGTTCTATATAACCATTCGTAATTTCCTTCTTAGAGTTCAGCATCCACTATAGTGATAGCATACAATTCCTGCAGGAATTCTGCTTTTTGTGACTGCAAATTTCTTCATACAATAGTATTCACATTTAGGAACTCGTTTCACATTCCTACAGTCATGGATTTGATTTGTTGTTGATTTGCACTGATGGCTGCATCTTGAGGTCATTAATTACTATGAGCCATTTTTAGTTGTGTGTATGTTACAAAGATACAATTGAATGCAATAAATAAAACTTATACCATATTTATTGTGAATTCTACCAGCCAGATTCAGAACATGACACCTGTGGATTTTTCTTTGTGAGCCTGCACACTGCAAATGTGTAAACAGTACCAATTAACTGTTTAACTTCTACGAAACCTACTTCATTGGTGCATATACGTGACGTATGAACTACACTAGCACATAGATATCAGAATTTATAGTGGACAAGTCACATATAAACAACAACAATTTATATTTATGCAGCGCATTTCACATTGGTAGAATGTCTAAAAGTGCTTTGCAAAGTTTGAGCAGGAGCATGAGCTCGGAGGGAGTTTGTTGAGGCTAAAAGCATAGCCAAACAGCAGGAGTTGAAATCAGGCAATTTTGGGAGAAGGAGGGCACCAAGTGCCTGAAATTGGCAGAGGGAAAGGATTGGCCAGAGAGTAGGGTCACAGGAGATTGCAAAGTCAAGGAGGTTCACGCAGCATTATGGATACATTAAACAACAACAAATTGTACAGTGCCTTTCACATTGGGAGGACATCCCAAGATGCTGGATAGTCAGGGATCTGGACCCGAGCAAGAGATTGGGATCAGGGGAGGTGGAGGGCAGGGAGGGTAGGAGGGTGGCTGAAGACGCGGTCGAAGAGGATGATCTTGAGACGTTCCTTGAAGGAGTCAAGGGAGGGAGCGAGGTGAAGGGAATGTGGGATGGAGTTCCAAAGGGTGGGGGTAGACAGCCTGAAGGCTCGACCACCAATGGTAAGGCAGGCCGGGCGGGGGACGTGGAGCAGGCCAGAGTATGCTGACCGGAGGGAGCGGGAAGGTTGATATGCGGTTAGCAGGTCCTAGAGGTAGGAAGAAGCAAGGCCTTGAAGGCGAGGACAAGAAGTTATGAACTCCATCCTCTGGGGGATGGGGAGCCAGTGGAGCCGGGCGAGGGTAGGGTGATAGGATCACGGAGCCTGGTACGGGAGAGGACATGAGCTGCAGAGTTGTGGATGATTTGCAGTTTGTGAAGGAAAGAGTTAGGAAGTCCGACAAGCAGGCAGTTGGCATAGACGAGCCTAGATGTGATAAATGCGAGGATGAGGGTTTTGGCAGCTGCGGGTAGAGACGGTGGCTGAGGGAAGGCAGAGTGGGTCATGATACGGATGTGAGTGACAACAAGGATCTTGAAGTTGATCTTGTGGACTTAAGACAGATAGTAAACGAGCAACTAGAGGTTCGGAGAANTTTTTTCAGACAAAAGTAGTTCAGATTTAGAATGCCCTGCCAGGAACAGTAGCTGAGGAGAATCCAAAAAAGAGGGAACTAAAGAATTACCCTAAAATAATCAGCTATAAAGTTATCGTGAAAGCTCAGGTAAATGGGATTGAAAGGATTGCTCTCGAGGGGGCTGGCATAGACCCAATGGGCTGAATGGCTTTTTTCTGTGTTGTAAATTTCTATGGACATGAGGGAATCAAATGAGAATAGGCTCACAGAGATAGTGCAGAGAAGGATTGAAGCTGCCGAATTCTGCATCTTATATAAAAAAAGTCAAGCTGTTAATCTTTGTAGCGGAGCAAATATAATTATTCTTTTATTAGTTAAGTGAAGGGAACAGAGAATACTCATATAAACATATGTTCTTCTTCCCTGTAGGAGTGTTTGGCCTCCACCTGGCAACTTCCCATGAGGGATAATTGAAATCAGGAATTCCAGATGCAAAACTGCATCTCAGCACAGATGGTGCACCATTTTGAAATAATATGATAATAGCTATCAATGAAGTTGTAACTTGAAAGTGTGGCCCTTAAAAATGTTAGTAACACTTGAACCACCTGAGATACACATATACACACGGCGCTAGCTGCACGTTATGAACAGTATAACAGAAAGATAGCATACTGTTACAGTACAACACAATGCAATGTACATTGTACATAGTATATAGTATAATGTGTTTGACAATGTATATAGTGCCTTACATATTGGGAGGAGGTCTCACAGGGGCCTGACACTGCTGGTTTGGGGAGCCAAATGAGATAGGGAGAGGAAAGATGACTAACGAACGGTTTAATGAAGAATGGTATTTGGGTGAGATAGCAGAAGCTTGAAATTGTTTATCAGACATATACATACAATTGTTGTTTCATGTTTGAGGAATAAAGGTGATTTACACCATAATTGGAATTGAAACCTAGGTACCGAAATAATCCTGATCAGGGTTATTTTGTTTCATTAATTAAATTTATTAAAGGAAAATTGTGTTGGGGATTTAGTTTATTGGCAGAGTAACAAAAAACTATATAATCATACGATGTCGATGGTATTCTTAAAATAACACTTGAAGTTTGATTCAGTATTTGTCCATTGGCATACGCCCAAGACTCTTTGCAAAACTTTTGCATATTGAACAAAGAAGGTACTAAAATTCAGAAATATGACCTTGAGTCTGGTAGCGCGACAATCATTGAAGAAATACTCAAGTTGGTTATAAAGAAAACCATTCAAGAGTACGTTGTGAAAGCAAACTCAATAAATCCAGGGAGATTATGTGAGATTTATTGAAATTCTTTGAAGATGTAATATAATGAGTGGACATTGTATAATTCAACTGTTAGACAGCATTTGTTCCTCACAGGAAATTTATGGCTATCTATGTTACCAATCATATTAGCTCTACTTATAACACAATAGAAAACTGAGTTGGCAAATTAAATCTAGTCAGGATGTTCAGAAGGCAGGAATATCTTTCAAAGAGATCTTACATACAGTAAGTGGCAAGCATGCCCAATAGGGAAATATCTGATCAGACTGAAACATTTAAAACTGGCTTGGTAGTTGGATGAAAAAGGTAGTTAAATAGAAACTCCATGCAGAACAGTAATTATTAGAGTTTCACAGAACTCCATTCTTGACCATTTTTGAATATGGGTTTATTTTGCGCTGTGCAGAAACACAGAAGTTTCCCATAGGAGAATAAGATACATGATCTCTGAAAAAGTGCAAAGATAAGTGTAAATACCTGCCTAGTTTATATTATTTCTGTATTATAAACACACTCAGCATACAGCATGGCAATAGACCCATGTGGAGTCCCGCAGTGTAGTGATTAGTGCGCCCGCCTCGCAAGCGAGAAAACCTGGGTTTGATTCCTGGGCAAGGCGAAACGTTGGGCAAGTTTCCTTATTCCACCCCTTCTCTGTTTACCAAGTAGTAATAGGGAACCCAGTTATAAATCGATTGGCAGATCGCTTTCTGGGGGTAATAATCCACGACTGTTTGTGAGATACTGCTGTGCTCAATTGGCTGCCACATTTCGTCCACAAAATACACAGTAACTGCACTTTACATTAGATCCTGTGAAACGCTTTGAGATGTCTCAAGAACATGATAAGGCGCTATATCAAATGCAAGGATTACTTCTTTTTATTTATAAATACAAATTCCGCAAGGAAATGGTTAGTCAAAAGTCTTCAAAAGATAGCAAAATATACTTCCTTAAGAGAAGGGAGTATTCCCCAAATAAAATTAATTATTGACATCATAGCTGTTTGTGGGAAATTGTGGCATGCAATTGGACTTCGGCATTCACCTACAAATAACAATCACTCCACTTCATAGTAAATCCTGTGAAGTGCTTTGAGATTCCTTCTCAATGAGAAAGAAGCTATGTCATATGCAAGGATTATTATAATATAAATGTTTGCCCAATTAATTGCTTACGAACAACACTTCAAAATAATTTGTGACTATTTGCTGTCTTTTTGCTCTTTGCGCAATTCATCTTAATGCAGTTGCAAACCAAATATAGTGTAAATCTATTATTAACTATGAAAATAACACTGCTATTTTGTAAAAATTGGTCTATGAGAACTGTGTCAACTTTTGATCATCATAGTTATTAAAGAAGAATCAGAAAGGGTTCAAAGAAGTACAGGAGAAAGATATTGGGTCTTAAATCAATGATCTAGTAAGGGAGGAGAAGAGAGCTAAATCTGTTCTCAATGGAAAGATTAAAGCTAACTGGAGGAGGAAGGCAGATTGTATATTTTCAAAAAATCTTATATTATCTGTACTGCAAAAAATATTCATGGCTGCGTAAGACCTAAGATTCTGATCAGCTGGTCTGAATCTTGGAATAGAGAACATAAAATATATTTTCCACATTTCTGCCTACAATAAAAAGCAGAACAAAACCACTCTAAAACAATTGTGTTTGTCAACCAAAAAAGGGGAACAAAAATGTTTACTGAAAATATTTGCAAGCATGGCTATTTCTGTACCATGTGCTAACAGCTACAACAAATGAACGGATAGATTTTTCTTGAGGTAGAGAATAAAGAATACAAACAGTTTCATCGAGAAGAGTTTCCTATAAAAAGAAAAATGGAATACAAATTAAGCTTGAGTGGTGCGCATTTTCTTCTAAGATACAAAGAGTTTTGCTCTTTTTCTTCTCCTTAATTTATATTGCACTTAACATAGATTTGTGGATGTTTACATAACAATTATTGATATAATCTTTCATGCAGGTGCCCTTCCAATGTACTGGATCAAGGAAATAAGGTCAGACAGGTACAGGGATAATCCATCTTTATTACTCTTCAATCACAGATCCTAGTGCTGTTTGAGTCATACTATCTGTTTTTTCTGACAAAAATGACCAGGCTTCAAATTGGGTTTATCTGTAATCATCATCTCTTTCAAAAGTGTACAGATAACACTTGGGGAGAAAAAATATATGCTGCGTGTACACTTTCTATTAATGGTCCACAGTTTATTTTTGTAGACACAGGTAAACCACAGCATGCATAGAATCCTAGCTATAACAACATAATACATTTTGCAGTGTTGGAAAAATAACAATAAATATGGATGGCCAAAGGAAGGAGCTCTCTATTATCAGTAATCAATTAGAGCATTAGCTCCTGCCAAGGTTGAAGTCAATCTCTTCCTTCATTATGTATGATTGTATAGCAGGGTACAGTCAGGTATTCTTGGATACCCAACTGTATTTGTCCCTCTTGCCAACTATTGACAAATCTACTTGCGCACAAAAATGCTTCCGGGGTATCAAAGATAGAAGAATCTCAAGCAAGTAACAATCTACACTTTACACAACATACGTTAAAGTTGATGGGTCCTTAGTGTAAGAAAGGGAGGGCTAAGTGAGGAAGAGGCACAGAGTATGCTGTATATTACCATTAGTTTCATGAAGTCCATCTTGATGGCAATGAGCAATAGAAGGGATGAAGGCTTCAGGTTGCTTTGTTTGTGTAGCTGAAGAACCAGGGACAGCGCCTGTTAGTACGATCTCAACTCTTTCTTCTATTCGGTTTTTGGCTTGACACTGTATAACAGCTGTGGAAAACAAAAAACTATATGTATAATTTCACTTGCTAAGCCAATACTAAGAAATACTAACAAACTAACCAAAGGCTAAAGAGAAATATTGAAAAATTTATAAGAAAATAAATAGGGCTAGGAGTCATATATAAATAATGATTGAATTTAACTAGAAAGGGCAGCAGCTGTATTAAAGACCAGATAGCTCTTTAAGGGATATGTAAGAAAGATATTATAGAATGTCAGGAGGCAGAACAGGTGAACAAATGTTTTTACTCAATCACTTTCACAAATGAAGAGTGTACTTGAATTTTAGATCAGGAACCATTAACACAAATAAATATCAGCAGAACATGTGTTCTGAAGCAACACAAACAATTCTAAAAGAAATGCAAATAATTATGTGAACCTCTGAATAATATTTCCTGGAAATTTAGACACATTGGGGATCTATCCAAGGACTGGTATATGAGCAATTGTATTTTATTATTCCAAACAGCAGTGAAATATGAACCTGTAAATTATCGACAAGTTTAACCAAACATCTAAAATGAGAAAATGCCTGAGAGCATCATATGGAATGCTATCAATATTTATCTAATAGGAACAGATGGCAGAAAACAGTCAATATGGATTTAAAACCCATAAGTCACATTGCATAAATCTATTGGAATTTTTGGAGGAAGGAAGTAAAATAATGGATGAGATCTATCTGGTGGCTATTGTTTACTTGGATTTCCAAAAAGCATTTGATAAAGTTCCACATGTGAAATATTTAAATGCCAAATCTTGGGGAATAAATGGAAAATTAATCAGTTAGATTGAAATCTAGTTCAGTATAGAAAGCAGATTGTAATGATAAATTGAAATAACTGGCTAAATGGAATGTCCAGCACAGTTCTGGGACATCTGCTGTTCAAACTATATATAAATACATATATACATATGGAGGAGAGCATTTATTGGAATCCGTTGCTGTGAAGCGCTCTGAGACGTCGTCCAGCATGGAGGGCACTACATAAATCCAAGTTGTTGTTGTTATTCAAATGCAATTAAGTGTTTGGAAAGCATTCAGAAAAGGAAAACATGATTCTAGGTCTATGGTTTTGTTATGAAGAGAAGTTTACAGTACTAACTGATTTGATTCGAAAGACAAATTGAGGGGAGACATGGGTCCAAATTGTTGGAATACAGTCAAACCTAATAATTTTATTATTCAAAACTGGCTTTCCTCCTTGTTGTTCCACCACCACAATGGTAAGTGGCTGTCATATCAATATTAAAATATTTAGATACACACAGAAAAAAATCTCTTCTCAGGTTGGACCCATACAATCAGCAAAATGGATTGGAGAGCTCCAACCAAGAAAAGAGCTCCACCTCAAGGAACTCGTCTGCTGTTCTGATGTGGGGAAAATTACCCTTGCAAAGTGATTTTTTTCATTGGCCAGTTTGGAAATACAGTGATCAAGTCAAGTGAAACATTTGCTAACTTACCAGGAGATACATCAGGGGGCAATGCCTCAGGGATACCACGAATTGGGTATAACCACCGGATTCCATTAATTTCTTCATTATTTGATTTACTGATACTTAACATAGAAGATTATTGTTTAGAAATCACTTCAAAATCTACGAAACATTCTCATAAAAGTATTATAATTAATAGGGAAATCATCTCACCATTCATAGCAAATAAGGAAAGCATTGCTCTTTAAATTCTTAACATCACTTATGGAAATATCAATTGTAAACACAATAAACAACTACTTTTTATTTGCTCCTGATTCTGATAATGTGTAATATTTTAAATATCTTTATCATATTTTAGCCATAGAAACAAATAATAAAATTGTAATAATTTACAAATAATTGAAAATGTCAAATTAACTGTACATGCCCTCAGTAGGCTGCTGCAATAACAAACTGTGCAACCTTGTTCTTTGACCTCTACACGGGCATGATGCATACCTGTTCATTCACTCCACTTTTATTTATCATCATGCCTATTATCAACAGCCAAGTAGTCTCTTTTTGAAAAAAAATAAAGGAATTCTTCGACACAAATGGTGCATGATGATGGAAATACAGAAATCTATAGCCCAGAAGGAGGTGATTCAGCCAATCAGGCTCACAGAGCAAGGAGATCCTTCAATACCACCACCTGCCTTATTTCCATATGCCTTCAAGCCCCTCTCTTTCATGTGCCTGTCTTCTTCCCTCTAGAAGGCTACAATGGACTCCAGCTCCACCACTCTACTCGGCAAGGTGTTCTGCATCCCAACTATACTCTGCGTGAAAAACCCCTCCTAAATTCTCCTTTTGCTATTCTTAAGGCTATCTTACAATTATATCCCATAGTTATTATAACCCGCATGAAAACGACCACCTGCTCCATCGACCTCATCCCTAACCCTCTCCTTACCTCCCAGTTCCACCTCCTTCCTCCTCTACTCACAGACATCATAAACCTCTCCTTGTCCACTGGTACTATTCCCACCTCATTAAAAACGTCCATTATCACTCCTTCCCCGCCCACAGCACAGAAACAAGGAACAACTTATATTTAACAACTTATAGTCAAAAAGAACTTCAAAGTAGTTGACAAACGTTATGGTCGACAATGTTCCCAAATTTAAAGATTTTAATCAAAGAATTACCAGTATCAATTACTAAATCATAACAACCTATTATGTTCTTTCTTTTACATGCTACAATTGAACGACATATGACAAATTCTATTAATAACCCGCAAGAAACAGCTTGTTAGAACTCTCTTGGATAAACGTCCCTTTGTCCCTAATTGTCTAAAAACACATATATTTCCCACTCTAAAGTGGAAAAGGGCACTAGGCTATACTGACCAGATGGACGCAGGTTCAAGTGCCAGCCTTTTTGAGTTAGCTACTTTCACATTGTAGCAGAAGAGGTGCAACAAGTTGCTTCAGCATTCAATGGACAATAAATTATAAATAAATTATAAATAAATATGACAATAAATTAGGCATAGTCCTGTTCCTGAACATGCTCCAGTTGCCCCTGATGGAAAATACATACGTTTGGATTGAGGTATAGACTCGATAGGGATCAGCTCTGATTTCACCATAGTTGAATAGCCTGCTGAATAGCCTGGTTTCATATATAAAGAAAGTGCACTTGGGGAAAGGTGCTGGAGAAAAAATGATAATCATCAAGCCATAACCCTTTTCTAGGATGGAGGTGTTTCTCACCTTATGCTTAAATGACTAGCATCTTCTAGCATGTGAAAAATAATACTGAACACTTTTTACAGTTAAGTACTGGATAATCATATTTCAGTAACAGTTTCTTTTTTTCCAGTCCTTCTATAAAAATGGTTGTAATTAAAATGGAAAGACAGCTCTGTTGTTTTCTTAATTTGTTAGGGGAATATTCTAATAGATAATGTTAGAAAGCTTTTCACACTCAAAATGAGCCAAAGCAACTGAGAATTTCTATTGAAAATAATGGAGATTCCAGATTCCTGAATCTTTGAGATGTAAAAGGGACTAGTTAATGGGATGAAGGGTAAAGCTTCTGACAGCAGAAACTCAGAAAAGGATGGAAGGGTATTTTGCAGAGGGGGAGCTGCCAGAAGCTATATACTATAAGTGACTTGTGGCATGTGCAGAATTTTAAATGAGTTGAGAATAACCGATGACAGCTGCGCCAGTTCATTTCCAAAGTTCCTCTTACAGGCAACCTTTAATGTAATTTTAAATGGATCACAAAATGCACATGTCAGAATGCTTTCGCCCTGAGGTTATGCTGTTTGTAGAGTTTGAAGACTGGTTTGATCAATTGTTTAAAACTCTGTATATCTTCAATGTGAGACAACTAATAAGCTCTGCAAATAAATAAATCATTAAAAGAAAAGCTTCACAGACATAGCAGGAAACCACCTTCTGTTCACAATGTCCTCAAAGGAACATCAAATAGTTGCATCAGACTAGGTGCTCTACTACTTTCCAACAACAACAAATTACATTTGTATAGTGCCTTTCACATCATGTCCAGTCAAATGTTTGCACTTGAGCAGGAGATTGCAATCAAGAGGGTGAAGGGTAGTGGGGTTGGGAAGTTGGCTAAAGGCAAAGTCAAACAGGATTGTCTTGAGAAGGGCATTGAAGGAGACAAGGGAGAGGGCAAGGTGGAAGGATTCCAGGATGGAGTTCCAGAGGATTAGGGCAGAAAAACTGAATGGTGGGGACACGCAGCAGATCTGCTGAGAGGAGGGAGTGGACAGGTTGGTATTGTGTAATAGGTCCAGAAGTAGGGAAGAACATGACCATGGAGGGATTTATAAGTGAGGATGAGGATTTTAAATTTGATCCACTGGGGGATGGGGAGCCAGAGGAGCCAGGTAAGGGTGGGGATGATTGGTTCACGGAGCTTGGTGTGAGCTGCAGAGTTCTGAATAATCCCCAGCTTGTGGAGGGAAGAACTGGGAAGAGCGCCGAGCAGGGAGTTAGGTTAGTCAAACCTGGGCATGATGAAAGCATGGATGAGGGACTCAGCGACCTGAGCGGAGAGACAGTGGCAGAGACAGGCAATAATTCTGAGGAGGAGGAAGGCAGAATGGTAAAGGCATGGATGTGGGGTTTAAAGAACAGTTGAGGGTTGAACTGGACACTAAGGTTCCATACTGGTTTTGTAAGGTGGAGGGTGCATCTATGAATAGTGATGTTGTCAGTGCTTGACAACAAGTTGACAAGTTTGTCAACGTTCAAATGGAGAAAGTTAGCTCTCATCCAGGATTTGATGTTTGACAGACAATCCACCAAGATTGAAGTCAAGGTCGGAGAGGAGAGATACTGTGGGGCGTCATCGAACTCTATTTCAGTATTATTTCCAACTAACATAATTTAATAGTACGAATAAACCATAGAGTTGACAAAAGTAACACCTGGCAAAACGTAGAATACAATACACAATACAATACAAAATTACATTTATAAAGCACCAGGAGGACATCCCAAGGCATTGAACCGTCAGGGATTAGGACCTGAGTGGGAGATGGGATCAGGGAGGGTGGAGGACAGAGAGGATAGGAGGGTGGCCGAAGGCACGGACAAAGAGGAGGGTCTTCAGGCATGCCTTAAAGGAGAAAAGTGAGGGAACAAGTCGAAGGGAATGTGAAATGGAATTCCGGAGGGTGGGTCAGACCGGCTGAAGGCCCGACCACCGATAGTGGGGTGGGCCAGATGGGGGACATGGAGCAGGCCGGAACCTGCTGAGTGGAGGGAGTGGACAGGTTGATAAGGGGTTAACAGGTCGGAGAGGTAGGAGGGGCAAGACCATGGAGGGCCTTGAATGTGAGGACAAGAATTTTGAACTCGATCCTCTTGAGGGCTGGGGAGCCAGTGGAACCTGGTGAGGGTGAGTGTGATGGGGTCACGGAGCCTGGTGCGGGAGAGGACACGAGCTGCAGAGTTCTGGATGGTCTGCAGCTTGTGGAGGCAAGAGTTGGGAAGGCCGACAAGCAAGTCATTGGCATAGTCAAGCCTGGTTGTAATGAAGGCATGTATGAGGCTTTGAGGGGTGAGGCAGTGGGGAGTCGGGCAATGTTGCGGAGGTAGGGGAAGGCAGAGCAGGTCATGGCATGGATGTAGGGGAGAAAGGACAGTTGAGGGTCGAACAAGACACTAAGTTCCTGACTTGCTTGGTGAGGTGGAGTGTGCATCTTTGGATGCTGATGCTGCCAGTGCCTGAGGTGCGGAGGCGCTGGCACAAGCCAATGGTCTTGCTGACGTTCAACTATAGAAAGTTGGCTCTAATCCACGACTTGATGTCTGACAGGCAGTCTGTCAGAAAATCAGGGTCCTGGGGTCAAGGGTGGAGGCAGAGAGATAGAGTTGGGTGTCATCCGCGTACATGTGGAAATTGACCCCACGGTCTGTGGATGATGTCATCAAGAGGGAGCATGTACAGGTGGAAGGGGAGAGGGCTGAGGACAGAGCCCTGAGGAACGCTGCACAAGACGGCGTGGGGAATGGAGGAGAAGCCATTTATGGAGACAAAGTGGAGCTGGTGTGAGAGATCTGAATCATTCAAGGACAGAAACTTGAAGATTAAGGTGAGAGGAAAGGCAGTGGAGAAGGACAGAGTGGTCCACAGTGTCAAGGGCAGCAGAGAGGACGAGGAGACAGAGGGAGCCCTGATCACAGATGGACAGAATGTCATTTGTCACCTTGGTCAGGGCTGTTTCTGTGCTGTGAGCAGCACGGAAACCCAAATGGAGTAGTTTGTAAAGGGAGTGACAGGAGCAATAATTCTTTCAAGCACCTTGGAAAGGAAAGGGAGGTTGGAAATGGGGCAGTAGATAGTGAGCAGGAATGGGTCCAGGGAAGGTTTTTTTAGGATAGGGGTGATGACAGCAGTTTTTAGGGGTTTGGAATGGTAGCAGTTGATAGGGAGAGGTTGATCAGATTTGAGAGTAAAGGGGCAAGGAGGTGGAGCCTGGAGGTAAGGAGAGGGGTAGTGATGAGGTCAAGGGAGCAGGTGGTGGGCTTCATGCAGGTTATAGTGGTGGTGAGAGAGGAGAGGGAGACAGATTTGAAGGTGTGGAGGGAGGAATGGGTAGGGCTTAAGAGTAAGGAAGAGATGGGGTGGGTGTAGCGCTTGGAAGTGCAGAGGCGGCTTAACAGATTCCCTCAATTTTGGTCTCAAGGAAATCCAGCATCTCCTCACAGTTGGAGTTGGAGGAGAGGATGGGCAAGACATGAGAAGGTGGACAGAGGAGCCAATTGATAATGGAGAAGAGAAGCCTAGGGTAGTGGAAGAGAAGAATAGGCCTGTAACTTTTTCATGTTTATACCATAAACCAGGGTGGTCCAATCTTTTGGCTGCTGAGGGCCAGATGCCCTGTTTGAGAAACGTCTGTGGTCTGCATAAGCAATATGTTTGTGTTTCCCTTCCAGAAACATAACATAACATTTACGGGTTATGGAGGGACCAGATGGGCCAGACAAAATCCGCACACGGGTTGCCAGTTGGACCATCCTGGGATAAACCAATCATCTTGCTTAACCCACTAAACCTCCTAAAGGAGACAACAAATCACAATGTTCTAGAGTTAAAGCTCATTCACGTGTTCAACAGCATGTGAACTGACATGAGAATATCTGATTGTTTGTTTCTGTTCCTTTGGGAAAAAGTCTAATCTTTATTTTTCTTCCATTTTAGTAGTTCGGTGACCATGTTAACAGTACACGTACAGTTCTAAATCAGGAATCAGACACAAGAGTGTCCAGCAGTACAGACTAGATGTGCTTAGTCTCAATTAAGTCTTTGTGTATATGACCCTTTCTTTATTTGCTAGAAAGCCGATTGCTGCTGTCTACTTTTGTAATATTTGAACCTGAGCTTGTATTCAGACTCAGCTTCTGATTCTAAAAATCTTTTTCATTTGCTCTACCCACATAAGTTTTCAATTTTGTTTCTCTTTTTGAGGTGATCACATCCTCATACAAATATTGCTTGGTATTTTACATGTAGAGTGTGAAAAATTACAGTTCAGTGCTAGGGAAGCATTTTTTTAACATCCAGTTCACGCCCAGATGATTATTTCAAAAATTCAAAGTAATCTCTGTGGATTCATATTAAAAAATACAACATATATTTTTGCAAATACACCAATTACAATTAAGAGAGTTTCCAATTGATAAACGACCCATCATTTGTTACTGGTTTCCAGGCTTTTCATGAGTTTTAATCCCATCTGAATATCAGTTGAATATCATGGCGTGGAACTTCCACTGCTGCTACTGTTAAGCTGTGGATCCTCAGCACGGAATGTGACACTGAGGTGGAAGCCAGTGGCATTTTTCTCCACACTCATTATTTTTACATTTGTGGACGTTGTCTCCTCACTTCAATTGGCGGTGAGCTGTGAGCATATAGTGCAACAACATTATGTATTTTGTAGATAATGGTGGCAGTTCGGGCCAAGAATTATATATTTGCCTTTTTTCAGGTTACACCATATTTATTAAACTTCAGAAGTTTTGGATTGTGTGTAAAGTTACTGCACAATTTTGTTCCTTTTCATCCTTGTGATGGAGATTGGTCAGTTGAAATATTTAGCAGGGAAGTAGGGATATGATAAAGGGTCGGGAAATAACATTAAGTTGTAGAGCAGTTATAATCTAAAGAACAGTAGAACAGGTTTGATGGGCTGAATGGTTGTGATCTTCTATTATGGTCTTGCATTCTTGATGTGAAAGCAACAGGTATGCATCCCCAAGAAAGATTTGCCTTTCAGTTTGCGGGCAGATGCAGGCAAGCAATATAAGTGGTATTGGTATAATAGTGTTCATTGTCGAGTAACTTCAATGGCAATTGCACCTCAGGAAAAAATAATAAATTTACTTCTGCTCATTTTCTTTATATTTAGAGAAATGTTACAGTAAGTTTGCTTGTGTGATGATTTAGCACTACCACAAGTCATGTACTTGTTATCATTTATAGTAGAAACTTTATTGTCTGTTTCTATGAATTCCATAGGGCCTAAGAACACATATTTCTGGTTATCCTTTTTACATTTCACCTGAGTTCAATTCCAGGCAGGGCGAAACCGTGGGCAAGTTTCCTTACTCCACACGCCTTATAATAATCCCTCCAAAACGAAAAACAATAATAAAATTGGTCATTTTCAATCTATGACTGTTTGTGGGAAATTGCTGTGCGCAATTGGCTGCCGCGTTCTCCCACAAATATACAGTCAATTCACTTTACTGTATATTCTGTGAAGCGTTTGGGACGTCAAGAAAACGTGAAAAACGCCAAATCAAATGCAAGGATTATTATTATTATTATTTCTCTACCTTACCTTCTCGGATCTGCTTTAGGCATTAGTTGATAGTCATAGTTCCAGTTCTTTCCATTTTCTTTCATAATTTGTACCATAATCAACCCTTCATAATATTTCATTTCATCGGGTGAAAAAATCAAAGGGATGTCCAACGTTGCCTTTGGAAGAAGTGTGATTCCTATTCAAAAGAATAACTGGTATAGTGTCATGATGCACTTCAGAAATATTAAGTTCTAGAGGCCAGAAATGTGTAATTCACCCAGAATCATTGACAACCCAAACTTTCTATATTAAATATTGTGGGAATATAGAAGCAGCAGTAGGTTGGAAGATCTTGTAATCACATGTCCTCACTTTTTATCCAAATCCCAAGAAGTTAACTCAAAGGCACTGAGCTGTGTTTTTTCTTAAATCCATTTTGCTACATAAATGTAGATTAAATGTTAATCTGCATTTATGCCTTATGTTTGAGGAAGAACAAAGCAGAAGGTATATTTGCAACAGTGAAAGTAGATTTTGTCAGCNAAAAATATTTGGGGTAGAAATTGATTAAAGCCTACAAGAAAACTTCTTTTTTTAATTTTATGACATCCTGCTTGGACTTCGGTGGTCATTTCAGGTGCTGCACATTCCTATGCATTATAGATGAATCGTGTGAGGTTTTAGAAAATCAGCACAAATCAAAACATTTCAAATGTTGGTTATCACCCTATCATATCATAAAATCAGTGCCGAAGTTATTGGAATGTGTTAAATATCATTTCACATAAATTAATCACATGGGAGATTATGCAGTGCACTCCATGTAACAAATGTGTAGATGTGAGCTAGGCGCTGTTCTGCTCCATTAAGTACGTTTCACGAATTTGCCCCTCGACCCTTATAAAATAATTAAAGCAATTTTGTTTAATTTAATTTTAGATTCAAATATAATTCAGTATTTGTACATGGTAAAATTGTGCAGTTATGTTAAGTAGATAGGTCAAAGTCATTAAACTTAATATGTGGTGTAAAATAGCATTTAGACCTGCATCAACTAAATCACTACATAGAATGGGACAAAACAATCCATTAAGTTATATACTAATATTTTGTTCAACAACAACTTGCATTTATATAGTGCCAGCTGGAGTGCAAACCCTTAACATTCCAGCACCTTGGGACATCCTTCCAACATGAAATGCACTATATAAATGTAACTTGTTGTAAAATCCACACTGAATGCTTACTTTAATAGAAAATAGCATGATTCTTAGAATATAAAATATTGTCTAGAAATCACTGATAGAAATTACAGTAAAACTCACAAAGCGTATCAGTAGGGACTATAACATTGATTATAACTTCACAGAATCCGAGTTGCAGGCAAAGTGAATAAGTCATAGGAAATCCAATTTAAATCAATAATCAATGCTGCACATGCGTAATTAAATGCAGCAGGTAAGTGCGTATGTGGTAGTTCATCACTGCAGCCTGTAAGTGAACATGTGGTGACTACATTTCCCGCGATTCAATGCGCTCACCAGAAAACAATGCCATTGCATGAAATTCTTCTGCACATGCATCGATGGATCAAGGCTATGTTTCCCAAGATTTAACACAGATGGCCGGTAAGTGCACATGATTCGACGTGTCAGAACATTGTTTCCCATGAATCAATAGAGACAATAAGTGTGGGAGTAATGTAGGAGAGGGAAGCGGCATTACGATTTCGGAGGTGATTAATATTTCAAGATCTTCTCACTTGTTTCCAAATCCCTTCATGTCCTCGCACATCCCTACCTATCCAATTTGCTTACCCCCAACTCCACCATCCACTGCTTCCGTTCAGCCAGCTCTGGCCTCCTGTTCGTCCCTCGCCCCCTCCACTCCACCATCGATGGCTGTGCTTTCAGCCACTACACCCCAAAGCTCTGAAACACCCTTCCTCAATACCTCTGCCTTGCCCCCTTCCTCCCCACTTTCAAATCCCATCTAAAGAACTTCTTTTTGATCGTGTTTACGGCCACTTCGCCCCTCCCTCCCCCCTGGCTCGATGTCACACTCCACCAATGTCAAGCGCTCCGGGACGCTAACCCACGTGAAGGGTGGCTCCCTACCAACCTGCCCGCTCCTTCCATTCAGCGGGCTCCGGCCTGCTCCATGTCTCCCGCCCGACCCGCCCTACCATCAGTGGCCGGGCTTTCAGCCTCTCTGCCCCCACACTCTGGAACTCCATCCCACAGTCCCTTCGCCTCACTTCCTCCCTTGCCTCCTTCTAGGCCGGTCTCAAAACCCTTCTTTTCGATTGTGCCTTTGGTCACCCTCCCACCTCTCTGCCTTCCCTCACCCCTACACCACCCCTCCCCCATTCTCCGGCCCCGACACCTGACTGTACAGCGCTCCCGACGTGAAAGGCGCTCTATAAATGTAACTTTGTTGTTGTTGTAAATGCAAGTTGTTATTGTAATATGAGTAGTGCAAAACTAAGTAGTTTTGATAGGAAACTGAATGGGTGAATGAACGACTTTGATCTTTTGGCATTTTGATCTTCAGTATTAAAATAATGGAGAAAGTTGTTTACAATACTTTATCAGTCTTATTAATCTTCAACTACTGTAGTTCCAATGAACAAAATGCTACACAACATAATGCAACATGAGAGGCTGTTTTATTTTACATTTCAAAACTTAAAGTGAACCTTGGTTTTAGAAGAGGTTATGAATTCTCCGCGTATATAAACTCTGGAATCTGAATTAATTTCAAATGCACCCCAGATCTACTGGTAATTACCACAGCTGTGATTATCTTCAGCTACTTTACATCCTTTTGTGTGCATCAGCCCAAAACTAATTGATGTTCTTGTCACTATGTTTAGCACAAGAACAATGCACTTGAGAGATAGCTGGCATCTCCAACAAAGTAATCATTCTTTTCAATCTAGCGTTAGGAAGAGTATCTGTTCTATAAATCCTAATCTTCTGTGATAATCTTTTGTGGATAATTCAATTCATATGTAACCATATCAACTAAATTCTACCTTCTAAACACAGCAGTATTCTTAATTCAGTTCTACAAATATTATGGGGAATGAAGATACTGACCTTTGGCAGATAACATCATCTTATTTTCCATTGGCCTATAACTTTAGCAACCTTTAAATGTGTGAATTTATTTTTAAAAATCACATTATGAATCCAAGATCCAGACATACATCCATAAGTGAGTCCTGTAGCTCAGTGGTTAGAGCATTCCCCTTGCAAGCAAGAGACCTGGGTTCTATTCCCGGCAGGGCGAAATGTTGGGCAAGTTTCCTTACTCCACATGCCTGTTTACCTAACATTAAGTAGGAACCCGGTTGTTAGTCGATTGGTGGATCACTTTTCCTGGGAGAATAATCCCTGTATAAAAAATAATAATTTGGTCACTCAATCCACGACTGTTTGTGGGACACTGCTATGCAAAATTGGCTGCCGGTTTCACCCACAAATATACAGTCAATTCACTTTACATTATATTCTGTGAAGGGATTTGAGATGCCTAGAAAAGCGCAAAATCAAATGCAAGGAATATTATTATTATTTTCAGCCTACTAGTTTTACTTCTCTTGGTGACATTATCCACAGACATGGGATCAACTTCCACATGTACACGGATGACACCCAACTCTATCTCTTTGCCTCCACCCTCGACCCCAGGACCCTGATGTCCTGACAGCCTTCCTGTCAGACATCAAGTCCTGGATGAGAGCGAACGTTCTATAGTTGAACGTCAGCAAGACCCAGGCTCTCCTGAGTGGCTCGTGCCAGTGCCTCTGCACATCAGGGACTAGTAGCATCAGCATTCAAGGATGCATACTCCACCTCACCAAGGCAGTCAGGAACCTAGGGGTCTTGTTCGACTCTCAATTGTCCTTTCTCCCCCACATCTGTGCCATGACTCGCTCTGCCTCCCCCCACCCAATGCCCTGCTTGTCGGCCTTCCCAACTTCTCCCTCCACAAGCTGCAGACCATCCAGAACTTTGCAGCTCGTGTCCTCTCCCGCACCAGGCTCCGTGACCCCATCACACACATCCTACCCTGGCTCCACTGGCTCCCCATCCCTCAGAGGGTCGAGTTCAAAATTCTTGTCCTCACCTTCAAAGCTCTCCAATGGACTTGCCCCCTCCTACTTCTCTTACCTGCTAACTTCTTATCAACCTGTCTGTTCCCTCCATGTCCTATACCCGGCCCACCCCACAATCATCGGTCCGGCCTTCAGCCTCTCTGCCTCCACCCTCTGGAACTCCATCCCACATTCCCTTCGCCTCTAATCCTCCCTTGCCTCCTTCAAGGCATGCCTCAAGACCTTCCTCTTATACCGTGCCTTTGGCCAACCTCCCACGCTCTCTGCCCTCCAACCTCCCTGATCCCAACCCACAACCCCTCCCCCGCCCCCCGCACAGGTCCTAATTCCTTACTGTTCAGCGCCTTGGGACGTCGCTTTACAAATGTAATTTTGTATTGTACTTTTAAGAATACAAACAAATTGGTTTGGTTACAGCTGTTACTGAATATTGATGAATGAAGACAAATTTACAAATGGTTATGATAGGATTTAACTTACGTAAAATTCAGAAATAACAAGCTCTTCATATTTTATTTTAACTTTTACTTCATGTAAGTTTCAATGTTTTCCGGACTGTGTATCAGCCTGGCTCAATTGGTGACACTCTTGCCTTTCGTCAGAAGTTTGTGGGTTCAAGCCTCACGTCGGGATTTGGAACTCATATAGTCTCTCATTTGTGCCAATGAAGTGCACAAATAGTGGGAGGAGCTGAAGAGCGACCAGGAATGTTTTAGTTTAATTTAATCTGATGCCTCCCCTACACATTTTCAAGTACATGTTAAAATTCCATGACACTATTCAAAATCAATGAGAGGATAGATTTTCCTTGTCCACCATCTTCCAGAGTAATCATGGCTGTTTCTGGGATCTTGCTGCTATGTTTATTTACACAAAATGGTCACTACACTTGACAGTAATTCATAAAGTGATAAAACATTATTAAAAAAACAAGTAATCTCTTGCTGTCAATTATTCGCTCATAATTGAGTTCCATCTGTATCATTACTTTAGAAGTTACATTCCACATGTGGGTTTGATACCCTTGAACTGAATCAAATATCTTAGAAGTAATTTTCTCATGACTGAAATGG